TCTACTTTGAGGAGCCAGCTCTTCCTCATTCATATTTTCAGTGCCTTCCAACTTGAGGGGCTCATCTTCTGGCACTATATGAGACAGTGCTCTACTGCTCTTCATGATGTTTTCACTGGTTAATTTTCTCAGAAGTAGACTACCAGGTCCTTCTTCCTAGTCTGTCTTAGTCTAGAAACCTGTCTACCATGAGTGACCTTGCTGGTATTTGACATACCGGTGACATAGCTTCCATCATCACAGCAACAGGCAAGCCACCACACTACGACAAACTGACGAGACACCTGGGGCTCATGGAAGCAGCAGTCAAGAAAACAAAGAATTAGGCAAATCTGCTGCAAAACAACTCTTTTTTCTGAATAGGGTCTGCAGAGAAAACATTTATCTTTCTTGGGAAGTGGTCCTAGACATACAAAACAACTGCTTATTGGGATAATAGACTCAATCTCTGGAAGTGAATGAGAAGAAGTTCTCTTGATTCATTGAAAGAAATGAGACGATTATAACTCAATGAGTAGATATTCTACACACACCAAACTGCACTTGAAGATCAGGAAGAGCACTTCATCTAAAATTAATGAATCTCTTGTTAGAAACCACTGAATCATAGAAGAATAAAGCTTGTAATCACACAGATACATACAACTTGCCCTAGACATTTGATCAATTTTCTTCTTCACCCAGTAGCTTAGTTCCAAATGATTCTCTTTGCCAAATGCTTTTATGGGATCCCCCTTATTTTTGTTTAAATGATATAGACGATCATGCTTGACAGCTGATGTTAACTGAAACAGTGGAAATATTCAAACTGAATTTTAAAAGAGAGGAACACTTTCAATTCTGTTATAATCTGCTGTTATAAAAACAAAACTTCTTAAATATCAATAGAATTATCTGTTTTTCTAAGGCTTTACTGTGCCCTTGCTGCTATGCTAATAAGTGCTTGAGTACTATTTGAGAAGAGTTAGGAAAATTATTCCGAGATGCTTCAGGGTTGGCAAAATGAGCAGGCTACAAGTTAATACATAAAATAACTTGTTAATCTCATCAAATACAAGCAAATCAAAAATCACATTTATAGTCTTTTACAAAATAAAAGATTAATGTTGAAAGCAAAATAGGAAGGAATGATTGTTCAGACCCTAAATTCATGACTGAACATCTTTGTGCTCAGTTTTAGGCCTTACACTACATTGACACTAGTGATGATCATTAAAACTAGCACATTTGGAGGCCCCAATCCTTATTGGAGCCCTGGTGGCGCAATGGTTAAGAGCTCAGCTGCTAACCAAAAGGTCAGTAGTTTGAATTCACCAGCTGCTCCTTGGAAACTATATGGGACAGTTCCACTTTCCTGTAGGGTTGCTATGAGTCAGAACCTCTAGATGGCAAAGGGTTTTGTTTTGTTTTTGGTTTAATCATTTACTGGGGAGACTCTGGGTGGTGCAAACTGTTGAGGACTTGCCTATTAACTGAAAGGTTGGTGGTTCAAACCCACCCAGTGGTGCCTCAGAAGAAAGGCCTGGTGATCTACTTCCAAAAGATCAGAGACATTTTATTTTATTATTTATTTATTTTTTATTGTGCTTTAGGTGAAAGTTTACAGCTCAAGTTAGTTTCTCATACAAACATTTATACACACATTGTTATGTGACCCTAGTTGCTATCCCTACAATGTGACCACACTTTCCTCCTTTCCATCCTGGATTTCCCGTGTCCTATCCAGCTCCTATCCCTTTCTGCCTTCTCTTCTCCCCTCCAGACAGGAGCTGCCCATTTACTCTCGTGTATCTACTTGAACTAAGAAGCAGAATCTTCACGAGTATCATTTTTTGTCTTATAGTCCAGTCTATTCTTTGTCTGAAGAGTTGGCTTTGGGAATGATTTTAGTTCTGGGTTAACAGAGAGTCCAGGAGCCATAACTTCTGGGGTTCTTCAGTCTCAGTCAGACTATTAAGTCTGGTCTTTTTGCTAGAATTTGAGTTCTGCACCCCGCTTATCTCCTGCACCGTCAGGGACTCTTGGTCATTGCTGGTAGCTGGGCACCATCTAGTTCTTCTGGTCTCAGGCTGATGGAGTCTCTGGTTTATGTAGTTCCTTTTATCTCTTGGGCTCATATTTTCCTCTTGTCTTTGGTGTTCTTCATTATTCTTTGCTCCAGGTGGTTTGGGATCAATTGATGCATCTTAGAAGATTAGAGATATTTTAAACCCTACTGAGCTACAGTTGTGCTCTGTAACACATAGGATCTCCATGAGTCAAATCAAAGAGATGACAGCAAGTTGACTGTCCACTTAGGGAGTACATACTACATGGCAAGCATACATCTTCAGTGGACAAAACACTAAGATCTTGATTCACATAATTTCCATTTAATGGGATAACTCTTTCTGTGCTTGTGCTCAGCACATGCACTCTGCAAATAACTCTGTTCTTTAAGCAGAAACAGGAAGTGAGGAAAAAGAAAGGTTTGCTGACATGGGAATTTTCTGAAGGTCTTCTTTGATAACCTGCAGTGAAAGCAAGACAAGCACCTAGAGAGGTTCTAAGGGCACCTCTGAGACATAGAGTCAGCACTACGCAGAAATCAGCACTGATTTCTGACTCAAGAAGCATTTACTTCTCTTCCTTCTCCTAATCCAATCCAGATGGAAGAAATATAGAAACAAACACCAGTCTACTGCAGCCCTGAATGTCCTAAGGATTGAATGTCTGTTGTCTGCTGTTGACAGATCTGAGAAAATAATGAGAATTTACTAAAAGAGATAAAGCAGGTAGAAAGCCACATCTGGCACATGTGCTAACCAAAGTGGCACTGCACAAGTTACTTGACTGCTCTCAACTTGCATCCTCCCTCTGTAAAGTGGGGAGTATTGCCACCTTAATGGAGAGTTTCGAGGACTACGTGACATCACCTAGGCAAAGTAAAAAATTAAAACCTTTCCCAAAATTTACATTTGAAACAAGCAATTACTTTAGGGGACAGTCTTTCAAGAAGATTATTTTTGCCACAAAGATAAACACATAAAAATACTTTTGCATCCTCAGAATTTTCAGAAGCCTCCTGCCAAATGCTTGCCTTAGTGAATACCCATTAAAAGCACCAAGTCCATTTGTCCCATAGCTCCATCACTGGTGTTAGGTGCTGTCACATCACATATTATCTCAAAAACTGTGTTGAATTTTTAAAAAGTTAAATTAGAAGATGTTAAATGTTTCCTCTTACTAATGAAACCAACAAAGAAAATGGTCAATTCATCACAAAGATGTAATTTTGTTTGTGTGCAGGAAAATGTTTACCAGCAAATTCCTTCTGGGATTCTAGGGTTCCGCTGATTTTATCTTTTTTCTTGTGTGTGTGTTCTCCCGAGGCTAGAGATAAAGAATAAATTCTTAAATTAAAATATTTACATAATTGGTCACAGTCAACCAATCTCCCAGAAGAGTCAAAGGAAAATAAGTTGTTTGAAAGTATTTGAGTCTGATTTCCCACATTTGTCAGAAGACCTTCCAATCTGACACTCTCTCAAGACTTAACAGGCAACCCTAGAGGCTCCTGTGCTCTCTCGGTCCTTGTCAGGATCTCTGGAGGGCAGATTTAAGTGCTGACCCTTGGAGTTCCCTCCAAGCTTAAGATTCTCATCCACTGCCATAAAGAATGGAAACTGTGCTGCAAATGTAAATCATTATTGTACAAGCCTACTTGCTATGAGTTGAAATCGACTCAACGGCAATGAGTTTGAATTTTTTTGGGGGTGGGGGGTAAAGTGATACTGTTGGAAATATTCATGTTTCTACCAAGATTCTGAATAAAAGTTATCAGTTTTCCTACTGTTGTCAACAATTTTTCCATTCACCCATTTTATTTTTCTGTATCAATACACCAGACACTATCTTGATTAATCTAATTATAACCTTGTTTAGATTAGAAGACTAGACAGCAAATGATGGATCACTTGGAAAAAACTGGACTGTGAAAACACAGGTGCTTTTAATTTTATGTAATTTATTGTATTGGTCAAGCTTTGCTGTCAAAGGATTTCTATGAGTGGAAACAAAGTTAAAGTAATCTAGAGATTTATTACTCAATTATACAATTCTCAAATTGGGCAACACAAAGCATGAAACTGAGTATTCCAAAGTAATGGAGCAATATTGGGGTTTTAATAGAGGAAGAAAGAAAGTTGGCGAAATCCAGGCAGTTTTGCTCAGACTTTCAGATATTCATCAAAATGTGCCTTGAAGTCCTATCTTCTTTAGAAATGTCAGTTATGCTAAGATGACAGAGGATGCAGGTCTCCAGGGGGTCAGTGCCTGCCCAGGCAGGTTTCCAGATGGCTAGGTGCCGATTTGTCTGGAATGTAGGGGTTAAAGATGCAGGATGGTGGTTACAGATAAATCTAAAGAAACACTCTAGTTATTACCTCTAAAGGTAAGGTTATTTATTATCTTAAACATTGGTTCTGTGAAACCAGACATTGAGCATGTTCTCTAGGCTTGACATAAGTGTCTCCATTTTGTTTTCAGTTTCCACATTTCTAATAAAAATAAGGCTTCAAAAAGGAGGGTGAGAATGGTTGCACAACTTGAAGAATGTAATTGATGTCACTGAATTTTACATGTAGAAAGAGTTGAATTGGTACATGTTCTGCTATGTATATTCTCAACAACAACAATAACAAATATTATAATATAAAAAAGATAGGGCTTCAAACAATGACTAAAAGTATGAGAGCATACAAAATGGTTTGAGGGTAAGAAAGGGAAAGGATGAAATGCAGAAGAAGGGTGGGCCAATAGAAGCAAGGTGGGGAGGGTAGACAGGAGCAGGGAGGGGAAATTCCCTGGAGGGCGTGGGGAAAGGGGTGGGGCTGGGGAGCTTGACTCAAGGTCTGAGTGGGAGCCCAAGGGCTATAAAAACCTAGTGGAGCCAGGCAGGGAAAGCAGCCTGCAGCCAAGGATAGACCTTCCCTGGAGAAAGGCTGAAAAGCAGGTTCAGGATGCCGCGCCCGCTCTTGTTCCGCCTGCTGGGAGTCTGCCTGCTGCTGAGCCAGCTTCCCAGAGAGCTCTCAGCCCAGCAGTCAAGCACTGTGAAGAAGCTATGCGGCCACGAATTAGTCCGCGCCCGGAAGGAAGCCTGCAGCAAGACCCACTGGGGAATGGGTGGCAGCAAGGGCAAACCATCACTGAAAACCCACGAGGCTCCAGGTGAGAGCTCCCGCCCAGACTCCAGGTCTCATTGGTACCCATGCTGAGCGCCTAAACTGCAGGTGCTGGTTCTTCCGGTGCCTAGAAGTTTGGCCTTTGACTCTGTAACTTGATTTCATTGAAGGTCTCCTGGGATCTAACCAGAGGGCTAAAAAGCCTCACCTGACAGGTGCTAGGTGTGCTTCACCACCAGGCTGCCAGGGTGCTGCGTGCAGACAGGAGGAAGCGCCCAGCAGTTAAAGCTGGCTACATTTATGGCAGGTGGCAGCAACCCCAAGACCCAGGGGTAATAAAGTGGCGGAGGCCAGATGGTAGGCTGCAGGAAATGGGGGCAGTGGACAGGGGATCTGGCATTGAGATGTAAAGGGAGGAAGCAGGTGGTCAGCTGGTTGTCAAGAACCTGTGCAAGCTGAAGGGCAGGGGGGCAGCACTGTGAGACCTCGGTCAGGGTCCTATAAGGTGGACATGGAAGGGCCTTAGAGTCAACTACTCTCCTCATCTGTAAAGAAGCTGCCCTGTGGCTTATGACAGCAAAACCATCCGTTTTTTTTTTTTTTAACCCAAAGCAAAGGGAGGGCCTTGCCTCTCACCTCTGTGAGCTGGTTCTTGAACTTCAGTTGGAGGAGAGGGGATGGAAGAGGAAGAAAGGGGCCAGCTGCCTACAAGAGAAACCCAGGGCAAAGAGTCCAGGGAAGCTCACCTCCAGACGCTCATAGCTAGACCGTTTGGCGCTTTCAAGCTTTTGGAAGCTGCAATGGATTTTCTTTAAATGCGACATATCAGAGTTGATTGAGTACAGCTCATATCTGGAACTATTTTTAAAAGAGTATGCTAGTTATTAAGAATTTGGAATCACTTAAATTTTTATCTTCTTGCCTCATTGCTTCCACTGTTTGAGGAGGAATGCATTATTAATAAGCTGAAAAGAACAGCTTTGGTGCCATTAAAAAGACCAGCCAGAACTGATTGAGGTTACACCAGAATGTAAACCTCATCTGTGTTTCTAATTCTTTTCTGTTAAAACACTCAAAATTGTGTGACTGGGATAGGAAAGATGAGAATGTTTATGCGTCTGAACATTTTTTGAGGGCAGGAAACATTTTTCTTTTTGTTTCTATCTCTTCTCTCTGGCAGTGTCAGAGACATGACTTCGGCTGATGAATGTTCAGCTGATCTGAATGGGCATGAAGAAGAAGGAAAGCTCATTATGGCTGCTTTCCAGCCTCCACTTCTGCCCATCCCAGGATGCTGTTGGAGAACAGGTTCCCTGCTCAGAGCACACAGAGCTTGTGCAGTGCGTGATCCACAGCACTGGACAAACACCACACATAGCACATTAGTCAGTACACACAGCACACAGACAGCAATCGCTCTTTTAGCTCAGCCATTTTTGGTTAGGTTAGTGTTCTTTTAACCCTTTTCTGTCCTTAAAGTAAAGTACTATTGACCTGAAGGAAACACCGTGGCAAAGGGAAACTGTTAAATAGATGTTCGAGATCTTGTATCTCAGAGGCTTGTACCTCCAGCCTGTCAGACAGATGGACCTGGGAATTCTGCCTTTTTAACTTTATTCTGAGCAATTTCTTACCTCCATGGAGCATTTGATAGCCTAAAATAATTAATAGACTTTGAAAGTATTACCATCATAACTGAGAAGTTGCTTAGCAAAGGAAGAAAATTACTTAAGTAAGAACAATACATCTGTGATCACCCTGAGAGTTTTCAATGACCAAGATGACTTCAGAGAGGTGTGACCAGTGTCAGGCAGAGTCAAAAGAGCGAAGATGAAAGCGTTAAAGGGGTCATGGGAAGAGACCACAGATGGGTGGGATGGCATAAAGCAAAATCTTAGGAATGTTGCATTGCTTTGAGCTGCCAAACCAGAAGTAAGTTAAAATGGATAGGTGTTAAGATGCTTGCTGATTCTGTTCTGATGTTCAGCTATATTGAGGCAATGCTTTCCTTTTTGTTTATGAAAAATTTTATAATTTTTCTGATGCTCCTTGACATAAATATTCTCTTGCCCACTTTTATTTAACTCTGCAGATCTTGAGCCATCCTCCATCAAAAAAGATGCAAAAACCACAAATGAGTTTTTGGAATTCACTCCTGATATTCACAAGAAGGTGACGGAAAATGAAAAATTTAGTAGAAAGAACCCGAAGATACAGAGTGAAGCAGAAGACAACAGCCTTCCAGAAACGGAAAGCTTAAGCTTGGATCAACATTCCCGAAAAAAGAAAATGCTAAGTAAATTATTGCGTAGGAAGTGTTGTAAGAAAGGTTGTACCATGAAAGAGCTTTCGAGAGCATGCTGAGATGAGCTAATTGTGTAGGCCTCAGCTAATGTTCACATGTCTTCCCACTGACATATTCACAGATGCCTCTCTCAGACACCACTGATAATTACAATGTGACAAATCGTTACTAGTGTTTTGATTTCTGATTTCTTGTGCAAGAACATACTCTTGGCATTATTGAAGTTTCTGTTAATAAACCTTTTAATGCTAAAAAGCCTTTTTGTCTTTTTTGTTAATGGTATAATTGTATTAGTTGATTGTGATGGTTAAGGTGTGTGTTAAGCTGGCTGGGCCATGAGTCTCAGTGGTTTGGCAGTTATGACGTAGTTTTGGCAGTTACGACGTAGTTTGGCAGTTATGACGTAGTTTGGCAGTTACATAATGATAGAATCACCTCCATGATGTTGTTGTTGTTGTTGGGTGCCTTCGAGTCCGTTCCAACTCATAGTGACCCTGGGTGCAACAGAACGAAACACTGCCCGGTCCTGCACCATCTTCACAATCGTTGTTATGCTTGAGCCCATTGTTGCAGTCACTGTGTCAATCCATTTTCACTGACCCTCTATTTTACCAAGCCTAATGTCCTTCTCCAGGGACTGATCCTTCCTGATAACATGTGCAAAGTATGTGAGACAAAGTCTTGCTATCCTTGTGTCCAGGGAGCACTCTGCACTTCTTTCAAACAGATTTGTTTGTTCTTTTGACAGTCCGTGGTATATTCAGTATTCTTCACCAATACCACAATTCAGAGGCATCAATTCTTCTTTGGTCTTCTTTATTCATTGTCCAGCTTTCACATGCATATGAGGTGATTGAAAACACCAGGGCTTGGGTCAGGTGCAACTTCATCTTCAAGGTGGCATATTTGCTTTTTAACACTTTAAAGAGGTTTTTGCAACACATTTGTCCGATGCAATGAGTCGTTTGATTTCTTTTAATTTTTTAAATTGTACTTTAGATGAAGGTTTACAGAACAAATTAGATTCTCATTAAACAGTTAGTACATATATTGTTTTGTGACACTGGTTACCAACCCCACAACAAGTCAGCACTCTCACTTCTCGAACTTGGGTTCCCTATTACCAGCTTTCCTGTTCCCTCCTGTCTTCTAGTTCTTGCTCCTGGGCTGGTGTGCCCCTTTAGTCTCACTCTGTTTTATGGGCCTGTTTAATCTTTGGCTGAAGGGTGAACCTCAGTCGTTGTTTGATTTCTTGACTGCTGCTTCCATGGGTATTGATTGTGGATCCAAGTAAAATGAAATCCTTGACAACTACAATAATTTTCCGTTTATCATGATGTTGTTTATTGGTCCAGTTGTGAGGATTTTTGTTTTCTTTATGTTGAGTTGTAATCTATACTGAGGGCTGTGGCCTTTGATCTTCATCAGTAAATGCTTGAAGTCCTCTTCACTTTCAGCAAGCAAGGTTGTGTCTTCTGCATAACGCAGATTGTTAATGAGTCTGCCTCCAATCCTGATGCCATGTTCTTCTTCATATAGTCCAGCTTCTCGGATTATTTGCTCAGCATACAGATTGCATAAGTATGGTGAAGGGATGTAATCTGTTCACACACCTTTCCTGGCTTTAATCCACGCAGTATCTCCTTGTTCTCTTTGGTTGACTGCCTCTTAATCTATGTACAGGTTCCTCCTGAGTATAATTAAGTGTTCTGGAATTTCCATTCTCTGCGATTTTTTTTTTAAAGAGAAAAAGTTATATATTTTTACTAAACTCTAATGGAAATTTAGCATTTTGTTAAATTATGAATATAGGCAACAAACTATAGTACTATGCACCAAACCAAACCAAACCCACTGCCCTCAAGTTGATTCCAACTCATAGCGACCCTACAGGACAGAGTAGAACTGCCCGGAAGCAGACTGCCACATCTTTATCCCACTGAATGGCTGGTGGGTTCAAACTGCCCACACTTCAGCCAGCAGCCGAGTGCTTAACCACTGCGCCACCAGGGCTCCTTGTACTATTAACGGTACCTATAATTGTCTCCAGCAATAATCACAGATATTTGGATATCACATTACAGTTGCTGCAGTATTTTGAAATACACTTTATATTTTGAAATTATAGCATTTATTAGAGCAGCCACTCTGTCTTGTTATTTAATGCATTAGTAACAAAGCGCATGTAAACAAAACACATCACAAGTATGTTTTTCAAAATATTTTGACAACTGTATTTCAGTATAATTGGTTGCCTTTGGAGCCCTGGTGGCACAGTGATTAAGAGCTCAGCTGCCAACCAAAAGGTCAGCAGTTCGAATCCCCCAGCCACTCCTTGGGGCAGTTCTACTCTGTCCTATAGAGTCGCCATGAGTCGGAAGTGACTCGACGGCAACAGTTTTCTTTTTTTTTTTAATTTTTTAAAATTGTACTTTTGATGAAGGTTTACAGAACAAATAGTTTCTTACTAAACAATCAGTACACATATTGTTTTATGACATTGATTAACAACTCCACGACACGTCAACACTCTTCGCTTCTCGACCTTGGAGGACTTTTTTTTTTTTTTGGTGAAAATATACATAGCCAAAG